GAAGGAAGGAAGGAAGGAAGGAAGGAAGGAAGGAAGGAAGGAAGGAAGGAAGGAAGGAAGGAAGGAAGGAAGGAAGGAAGGAAGAAAGGAAGGAAAGAAGGAAGGGCATGCTGTTGGGTAAAGAGGTCGAAAGATCTGGGAGGAGTTGAGAGATGGGAGACCATGATCACAATATATTGTATGAAATTCTTTTTTTTTTAATGTCAAAAAAAATCTTGCTAGGATTTTGCAAAGCTCTTTGAATCCACTGGAGCCATCAGTTTTCACACCAGTATTCTGCATTTATGAATTCTCCTTCCTCACATATTTTTCCCCAAACTCCCCTTATATGAAATGTTACATTAGAAATACAGTGTCCTGGGCTCTACATCATTGTTCTCCACAGTTGTGGAGCAATTGCCTGCAGAGTCATGAGGTGGAGGTGGGTGGAGTTTCTTGTTCAGATGAAAGAGGAAACAGTGATTTGGAGAGAACCGGTTGTGTGCAAGTGCAAGTGTGTCTGGGCACAAGAATTGACACCACCCCGGAGAGCTGGAGAGAAGACACCTCAGCAATTGGACAGGGACCATGGAGAGGAAACTGGGAGCTGTGCTGGGGATTCTGTGGGTGCGGATTTGCTGTGAGTTGTGCTCACCTAAGCTGCTTTAGGGATTCTCTAGAAATGTCAGTGGTGGAGGGGATGAGCCAACCCAAAGCTCCTGTGCAGTCACCTCATGGTGTCTCCTGGGATATTAGACAGGTTTGGGTGAAAACCCCTCACTGATTCTGGTTTGCTTTTGTTTCCCAACAGGGGTGAGGGGAGTTGAGGTGAAGCAGAGTCCTCCAGCCCTGATTCTCCATGAGGGAACCAGTTCTGCTCTGAGATGCAATTTTTCTGAAACCATGACAACTGTGCAGTGGTTCCGACAGAATCCCTGGGGCAGTCTCATCAATCTTTTTTACCTGACTCCAGGAACAAAGGAGAATGGGAGGTTAAAGTCAACATTTGACTCCAAGGAGCGCTACAGCACCCTGCACATCAGGGATGCCCAGCTGGAGGACTCAGGCACCTACCTCTGTGCTGCTGATGCACAGTGCTCCCAGCAAGCTTGCAGGCTGGCACCAAACTGCAACTGTGTGTGCAGCTACAGCCCTGCCCCAGGGAGACTCTGCAGGAGGCTTTGCACAGCTGTGGCTTTATCAGATCTCGACCAATTACAGAGAAGGTGCGAGGAAACACAAAAATACCACAGCAGAAATTCACACCTAAATTCTGCTGATGTGATATTAACTTGTAGAAGGATGAATGCTCAGAAACACCAGCCCATATGACTAATATGTACAGTTTATTTTACTATATTCTTGTGCTAATGTCATAAAATATAAATCCCTCTTGCACACTACAGAATCATTTTGGTCTTTGCTCAAAACTGGAAACTGAGAGCGACTTTTTCGTCCTGTGTTTAGAGAGAATGAGACAACACTTCCAGCCAATCTGCTCTATATGATCAGTTTCTCCTCCCTCATCTCCTTCAGATCCTCTCCACCCATCTAACTCCACCCCTTCTTTCTCTTTCTTTTAGAAAACACACAAGCAATTAAACAAACAAATCAGAATAGAACAAAACAAACAGAAAAAATAAAAAGCATGAGAAGTACATATTTATGCAGAGACATATGCATACACAAAAATCCATAAAACACAAAATTGGAAACCACAATATATAAGCAAGTCCCCAATATGGCAAAATAATGCCCACATAAAGCATTATGAGAAAAAAAAACACCTCTAAATATACCTTTGAGTTCATTTGAATTGACCATCTACTGTTGGGCATGAGGCCTGCCCTTAAGTGTTGTTTGTACAATCCATAAAACTCTGTTGTCAAAATTTAAATTTTCCTTTGTGAGAGGTTGTCATCTGGCAATAGCTTCTTGGTTAGGGATAAAGGATCATGGCCGCTTCCCCCTCTAAGCACTGGGACCCATTCTGTAGTGGACCTGTGCGGGTCCTGTGGATACTGCCACCATCTCTGTGAGTTCACATGTGAGTCAGTCCTGTTGTTTTCTGGAGGCCCTTGTTTCCCAAGTGTCTCCCATCTCCACTGACTTTTACTCTTTTTTTTTTTTAATTTTTCAAGACAAGGTTTCTCTGTGTAACAGTCCTACCTGTCCTGGAACTCCCTTTGTAGACCAGGTGGGCCTCAAATTCAGAGATCCACCTGCCTCTGCCTCCCAAGTCCTGGGACTAAAGGCATGTGCCACCACCGCCAGGCTCCACTGACTTTTACAATCTTTCTGCTTCTTCTTCTGAAAAATTCTGTGATCCTGAGGAGAGAAGTTTAATGGAGACATTTAGGACTGGGTGTTCCAAGGTCTCTCATTCTCTGCACATTTTCCAGTTGTGGAGTTGTGGGTCTCTATATTTGTTCCCAACTACTGTAATTTAAGGCTTCCCTGATTAAGGATGAACAAAACACTGATATATGAGTATAGCAAAATGTCGGTAGAAGTTATTATATTGCTAGGTATCATTAGAAGAACAATAGTATCTGGGTTTCCCATAGATTCATGTCCTATCTAGTCTCTGGTTCTTGGCCACAGGAGCAGATCACGCATGAGTTCCATCTCATGGAGGAGGTCTTAAGTCCATTCAGATAGTGGTTGGTTACTCCAGTATCATTTGGGCCATTATCACACCAGTGTATCTTACAGGTAGATCACCATTGTAGATCAAAGGATTTATAACTTGACTGGTGTTTACCTTTCTCTGCTATCAATTTTCAGAGTACCCTCCTGTAGCATCTCAACTTCTCCATGTTCAATGAGATAGGTACAATAGTACCTTACCATCCATTTGTGGAGAGCAACCAATGGCCTGATTTGTTTGAATGTTTCCATGGGGCCATATTGGCTAACAACTCAGATGACAAACATTCTTGGCACTGGAGGTTTCTGTTGATGGTAAGAGATGTCTAGTTGGTTCTTTGTCTTCCTGCTATTGGTGTTTTCATTTAGATTTCTTTCATATATATGAAACATTATAGATATATGTGTATATGTGTGTGTGTGTGTGTGTTTCTACTATAGTAGGTTTCCATATGACCTCTCAGATGGAGCTTAGTTTTAGCTGTCTCTCCCCATATCCTCTCTTATTCTCTTCCTTCCTCCTTTCTGCCCCTCACCATCTCTTTTACTACCTATTCTACTTTTCCCTTATTCAGGAAATCCTTCCCTCTCCCCTAGTCCTCTACTCTATTCCTAACTTCTGTAGGTATACAAATTGTGGCAAACCTATTGAAGGCTTAAAAGCTAATGTCCACATTTAAGAGAATATATACTATATTTTTCTTTTTGGGTCTTGGTTACCTCACTCAGGATGATTTTTTTTCTAGCTCCATCCATTTACTTGTGACTTTCATGACTTAATTGCTGAGTAATATTTCATTGTGTAAATGTACCATATTTTCACTATCCATCTTTTGATGGGCATCTAGGCTGTTTCCAATTTCTGGCTATTATCAATAGAACAGCAATGAATATCAGTGAACAAGTGTCTCTGTAATAGGGTATGGAGTCCTATGAGTATATGCCCAAAAGTTGTATAGCTGAATCTTGAGGTAGATCTATTCCCATTTTCCTAAAGAATCCCAACACTCATTCCCATAGTGGCTCTTAAATTTTGCACTCTCACCAGCAATGGAAGAGTGTTCCCCTTGCCTTATATCTTCACCAGCATAAGATGCCATTTGTTTTATGGATTATTGCCATTCTTAGGTGTAAGATGAAATTTCATAGTGCTTTCAACTTGTATTTTCTTGGTGACTAAGGATATTGAACATTTCTCTAAGTGTTTCTCAGCCACTTGTTTCATCTTTTGAGAACTCTTTGTTTAGCTCTGTGCCCATTTTTACTTGGGTTTTTTTCTTTTTATGATGTTTAGTCTTTTCAGTTCTTTATATATTTTAGATATTAGCCCTATATCAGATGTATCGTTGGTAGTGATACTTTCCCCTTCTGTAAACTGCCACTTTGTTCAAATGAACATGTCCTTTGCCCATACATAAGCTTTTCAATTTCATGAAATTCCACTTATCGATTATTGTTTTTAGTGACTATGCTACTGGTGTCCTGTCCAGAAAGTTCTTTACTGTGCAAATGAGTCCAAGACTATTCCATATTTCTCTTCTATTAGATTCAGAGTATCTGGAGGTAGGTTGAGGTCCTTGATCCATCTGGACTTGTGTAGCTAAAATTTTCCTGGTCCTGCCTGGCCCACGGTCGGGACAAATCTCTCTCACCCACAAGTCCTGCAGCTGCTCAGACCCAACCAAGTAAACACACAGAGACTTATATTGCTTACAAACTGTATGGCCATGGCAGGCTTCTTGCTAACTGTTCTTATATCTTAAATTAACCCATTTCTATTAGTCTGTAAGTTGCCATGTGGCTTGTGGCTTACTGGTACCTTACATCTCGCTTGTCATGGCGGCGGCTGGCAGCTTCTCTCTGTCTCAGCCTTCCACTTCCCAGAAATCTCCTCTCTCCTTGTCCCACCTATACTTCCTGCCTGGCTACTGGCCAGTCAGTGTTTTATTTATTAACCAATCAGAGCAACACATTTAACATACAGAACATCCCACAGCAGACTTGAATTTTGTACAGGGTGATAAAAATTATTCTACTTTCAATCTTTTACAAGTAGCCATTCAGTTTGGCCAGCATCATTTGTTGATGATGCTACCTTTTTCTGGTATATATTTTTGACTTCCTAATTAAATAAGGTATTCTTAGGTATGTGGACTTATGTTTGGGTCTTCAATTCTTTTCCATTGACCAGCATATCTGGTTTTATGCTAATACCATTCTCTTTTTTTCTGATTACAAAATTGTAATACTATTGAAATATGAAGTGGTGATATTTTACATACTTCTTTTATTATTCATCATTGTTCCAACTATCCTGAATTTTTTGTGCTTCCATATAAGTGAGAAAAATATTTTTTTTCTATTTCTCTGGAGAATTGTGTTGGGATTTTGACAGAGATTGCATTGACTCTATTAACTGCTTTGGTAGGATGGCTGCTTTGTCTAAATTAATCCTACCAATCCATGAGCTTGGGAGATATTTTCATTGCTTGATATCTTCTGTTTCTTTCTTCCATGTTTTAAAAATGTTAATATACAAGTTTTTCACTTAAATGGTTAGAGTTTATCCTATATATTTTATTATTCTTTCAGGCTATTATGATAGATGTTGTTTCCCTGATTTCTTTCTGATGTTTTTAGATTTAACAGGTTTTTTTCCCTTGATGTATCAATTTTTTTTCTTTGTGTGCAATACCTGAGATTCCTTCTCTCATGCCTTCTGCTTTGTTGATGAAGCTTACCTCTGAGTCTTTGTTTTGATTTCCTAAATTTTTATTTCCAGTTTTATCTCAGGTTGGATTTTCTTTAGTAATTCTATTTCTACTTGCATATCTTGAACTGTTTATTTTTTAATTTTATTCCACTGCTTGTTGATATTTTCACAGACTTAATTAAAGAGTTTATTTATATCCTCTTTAGGATCCTTGGTAAAGTTCATATCTATTTTTGACCTCCTCATCTCATGATTCAGCTCTATTGCATTTTCAGGATCTGTTGTAAGTAGGGTTACTGGGTTCTGGTGGAGACATATTGAAAACAACATATCTGCATTGTCAACAAGAACTCACTGAAGTAGAAAGAACATTGCAACTGAAAGCCCATGAGAGACCTGAAAAAGCCTTTCCTGAATGCCATAACTCTTCAGGACAATTATTGACCTAAGTGTGTGCCTTCAAGAAAAAGAAGAGTTATTTGATGAATGATCTAAGCATTCTGGGATATGGGAGTGGTTTAATAAATACAGTTCTAGACAAAACAAGTGTTAGACACACGCACAAACACATACACACACTTAGAACACATCAATAAATACATTTATGTACAAAAAACATTATGTATATATGTTTGTATATGAAGCATTATACATATGCTTTGTTAGATTTAAAGATAGGAAACAGGCTCACTAGTGTATATAAATGCCATTATTGATCTCTCTGCATGTGTCTGAGTCCCTCACGGGGTCAAAAAACACTTAAGCAGAGGCCTCAGTGATTAAAGGTACAACCACAAAGTGGTAGTAGACCTCAGCTGCTGGGAGTATGCAGAGGATTCACTTCCTTGTGTTGATTGTGCAGGCTTAGGGCAGAAGCACAGCCTTTTTCTTAGTGGCTGAGTGGATGACATAAGAGGTAGAATTGTTCCTGAGAAAGAACAACACCCTGTAGCTGTAGTCATCACGATCT